GAACCAGTTCATGTATTGGAGCATGAATTTTGTAAACATTATACAGATGAGGAAATTTTAGGCCAGAGAACTAAGTAACTTTCTCAAGATTACCTAACCAGAAAGTGGCCAAGGAAAGGAAACTTGTGGAAAGATGGAAGAATCCTGGGAGTGATGGGAAGAAGCCAACAGTATATCCACAAGATGGCCTGAGACAGGAGACTGAGCTGGGTCATGAAGGGAGGATAATACAGGAGGAGATGGCAGGGAGCCTTGCATTCCTAACTGGAATGAAGGGAGGGATGACAACATGGCTTGAAGGATGGAACCAGGCTTTACTCTTGGCCCTGAAATCCGATGCTGTCTTGAGCAAATGCCTTCCCTCTTGAGAGTTAGTATCTTCTCCTATAAAACAGGGATAATTTTATCTAAAACCTTGCAGTCTGAATAGGGATTCATGATCACTTGAAGCAAGGTCTCAATAAAAGGTATTATTTCTGGAGTAAGCAATTCTATTGCTATTGCTGATAGATGAGTCAGGGGCAACATGTAAACATCAGAAGAGATAACTAGTCAGAATTCTGTTGTTGAAGAGGTTTCGGGCTCCATGGTTCAGCTTCAATATTGCTCTGACGATGTGGACAATTAAGTGCTGGGCTACTCATTTCTTAGAATTTGATGCATACGGGGGCTGGCTGGTAAGACAGGTCTAACTGTCAGTATCAAATCATCTCATCATTTGAATTACACAGTCTGGACAGGCAGGCAGAAGGTAGCGTGGTCTCCCACACACTGCACAGCCTAAAGCTATGTGCCCAGAGCTGGCGGTGTGGCCAGCACAGCGAAGTGGCCAGCACAGCGAAGTCCCGATCTAGAGGGGACCCGGGTACAAAGCAACTCACCAGTAGCAGGTGGCGACAGCGCCACTAAGTTCCTGAGAACATCTTGAAGCCCAGAATCCAAGTTTTAAATATTAATTTGACTTCAGTAAGAAAGAGCTAGTTTTTACCCATTAGCTGAAAAGCTCTTCAGCTTCCACTTGTTATTTTTAAGCATAATGTTTTTTTAAAGAGACCAGTTCTGCTCCCCATGAGGGAGAGAACTGGCGTAAGCAAACCCCAGCGGTCTTGGTGTCTTTGGCGTGTGGGGGCAGAAAGGCAGTCAGCTAGCATTCCACGTGTGCCTTCCTCAGGCCACCAAGCCTAAAGCCTGCCCAGGGATGCGATCAGTCCCAACTTAAGATCAGACTCCCTCCACGATGCAAGATGGAAAATTACCATTAGCCAAACCACTGGGCAGAGTTTCAAGAAACAGCCATCTATTTCTGATTCTTTTCTACACAGGAAACAAACAAAATATAGAGCTACCAGCTCCCAGGCCACCAAAAACCTATGCCTGATGCCTGATGCCATCCCACCTGATGCCTGATGCCATCCCACCCTACACACACCATGCTATTGCTATTGCTGATAGATGAGTCAGGGGCAACATGTAAACATCAGAAGAGATAACTAGTCAGAATTCTGTTGTTGAAGAGGTTTCGGGCTCCATGGTTCAGCTTCAATATTGCTCTGACGATGTGGACAATTAAGTGCTGGGCTACTCATTTCTTAGAATTTGATGCATACGGGGGCTGGCTGGTAAGACAGGTCTAACTGTCAGTATCAAATCATCTCATCATTTGAATTACACAGTCTGGACAGGCAGGCAGAAGGTAGCGTGGTCTCCCACACACTGCACAGCCTAAAGCTATGTGCCCAGAGCTGGCGGTGTGGCCAGCACAGCGAAGTGGCCAGCACAGCGAAGTCCCGATCTAGAGGGGACCCGGGTACAAAGCAACTCACCAGTAGCAGGTGGCGACAGCGCCACTAAGTTCCTGAGAACATCTTGAAGCCCAGAATCCAAGTTTTAAATATTAATTTGACTTCAGTAAGAAAGAGCTAGTTTTTACCCATTAGCTGAAAAGCTCTTCAGCTTCCACTTGTTATTTTTAAGCATAATGTTTTTTTAAAGAGACCAGTTCTGCTCCCCATGAGGGAGAGAACTGGCGTAAGCAAACCCCAGCGGTCTTGGTGTCTTTGGCGTGTGGGGGCAGAAAGGCAGTCAGCTAGCATTCCACGTGTGCCTTCCTCAGGCCACCAAGCCTAAAGCCTGCCCAGGGATGCGATCAGTCCCAACTTAAGATCAGACTCCCTCCACGATGCAAGATGGAAAATTACCATTAGCCAAACCACTGGGCAGAGTTTCAAGAAACAGCCATCTATTTCTGATTCTTTTCTACACAGGAAACAAACAAAATATAGAGCTACCAGCTCCCAGGCCACCAAAAACCTATGCCTGATGCCTGATGCCATCCCACCTGATGCCTGATGCCATCCCACCCTACACACACCATGCCAAGAAAGGCACAACAAAACAGCTTGGTGCCCCAATTCCAGACCCTTTCTCCCTCAATTTTAGAGCAGAATCCATCAGAGTGAGAATAATTTCCTTTTAAAGTAAATGTTAGTTTCATTCTAATTGAGGCTTGGGAAAGAATCAGGAGAAAATTCTTCTCGGAAAAGAAGTCTGAAGGAAAAAGTTGGCAGAATTCCAACAAACATAGGTGTTAAAAAAAAAAAAAATCTAACAACATGAATCTGTTCCCTAACTAGAAAGAAAATATATTGTATATTTAAGGCAGAGAAGCAACATTGCATAACTTGAAGGGGGAGTGGCATTCGCTTTATAATCTATGTAAATAGTGCCCCCTGGAGTTGTGCACTGTACAACCTGTGAAACCAAATTTAAACAACCCCAATTCAGGATATCTATGTCAGAAAAAATGCCTATAATGACTCCCACACAGGTGTAGCAGCTTCAGGTTATTAAAAAGTTAAGTTGCTATAGATTATTCTGTAGAAAACTCTTAAGGCACACAGTAAAACCCAAACTTCCCACAGAATCACACTCTAAATTATAACCAAGGGGACCTGGTTAAAATCATCTAGTTTGGTCCCTCACTGCTCAGATGAGGCTATTGAAGGTCAGAGATATAACGTCTTGTCCAAGGTCAATAAGCCTATCTAAAAAGGTGAAACAGACTTTCCCTACTTTCCATAGACAGCTGAAAGAGGCCGCTTTGCTGTGAATGGTTTTCAGTTTACCCAGACTCCAAATGGAGTCGTATTCATCATTTTACATTTTTTGAGCACCTTCTCAATGCTAAGCCTTGAAAATGGGGCAACATAAGTAGGGCAGCTTTGCTTCAATTACACACAACATTTAGTATAGAAATTGAGAACTTTACTAGAAACATTTCCAGGCACAAAGGTAGCATGCTCTCTCTTGAGCCATGAATGGTTATGGTCTACTGAACAAACCCTTATTTTGGCAATTTTTTTAAATGTGTTATGTCCCCGTTGGAGTTGACTGACTTCTTTGAAGCCGTTTTGGTCTATTGGTTAAATATTTATTTGTTAATATATTTACAAGCCATATTATTTATGCAATAGATTTGGAGCCATTATGACTTACTGGATAAGTATTACCTATTTAAAATCAGGCTATCCAAAGCATGAAAACCAAAGGCCATTTACAGGGAGAATGGGAAGCTTAGGAGTTACTGAGGTTGTCCTTTAATTTAAATTTTATTTTTAACACTGTCATTCTACTCTTTATAATAGAAGTTTTATTTGTATTTGAATGTGTGTGGTGAGAGCGAGGTGGGAGGAGAGAGAAGCCCTTTCACCAAAAACCAATGCAATTAAAGTGCTTTATGGACAAGCTCTCTGCCAAATTTCTTATTTAAATCAAAGACACCTTTGAGTGAGTTACCCAAGAGCAGGGCAGAAAGCACCTGCAGTCACGTCTGTTTCTCATTTTGTACTCGTGTAACTCAGATGCCCTGCGGCTTCAGTGAAATCTGCTCCTGCGTTGAAATCGTGTACACCACGTGGCAGCTCGGTTTGAATTTGGAAACAGGAGCTCAGGAGGTGCCTCTCAAACATGTGGCTCAGGTTTTCCCCGAGTGTAACATGAACAAGGGAGTCATGTTATGGGCACCAGTGCCTCCAGCTTCACTGTACGTAAGAGATATGGCAGCACCGTGTTTCCATTTAGTGGTGTTCCCCACTACCCTCCCCGTATCAGTTCCCACTTTAGTGTTCACGAGGGAAGGTCATAGCATGGAACAAGCTGTACTGTAAATGTCCACGTTGACAGTCTGTGTTCTGTGCATGAATTTACAACCACGTCCTGACACAGAGAAAGGAAGCCAGCCAGAATTCATGACCCAACATTCCCAGGTAGACAGCTATGGGTCCCTCCTCTGTGTAGATTCTGCTTGTGGCTGACATAAACACAGAAAGGATTCCATTGGTCTGGAGAAATTGCAGTGATGTAAAATTAATACCCAGTTAAAAAAAAAAAAAAAACAGTACGCTTAGGTTTAGACCCCAATTTCTTTTCATTTTATCCCAAAGAGGCCTCTTTTATATATTAGCACTAACCACGAATTCTAGATATTTTTCCTCTCTAATCACATTTTAGAATACCAGATCCTTGTTTGTCTCTTCATTTGTCCCACTGACTCAACAAACATTAGTGAGTATCTAAGCATCTGAGCTCTCAAGCATCAGAGATTCCATAATTATGAACAAAGAAGACTTTGCTTTCATGGAGTTTCCTTTCTAGCCAGGGAAGGGGAGGAACTGGCTTCAAACTAGCTTAGTGAAGGCGTGTTCCAGTTAAAGTCAGGTCTCCATGTGGCATTCCAGATTTACACAGGATAAATTGGGATGTGATAATTTGCTTCAAAAAAAGATTCAATATTTTACTAAAAAAAAAAACAAAAAATTACAGAAGGATTCCCTTTCGATCTAAAATTCCCAACCACCCCTCTGCCTGGCCAAGTCATTTTATTTATTTGGAATTTTTGAGGACTCCATCAATTGTCAAAGTACTCCTGTACTGTTCTGGAGCACATTCCCTAATCACCAGCTTTCATAGACATTAATTTTTAATGCATAAAAGAAGTGCCACAAGAAAGTATTACTTATTCCAGAATTTAAAAACATACCCCACTCTGAAGATACTGCTCAGCAGAGATTACAGGCAGGCCTAGAAAGAAAAAGTCGTAGGGACTCAGTACTGTGGCTTCGCTGGAGCTCCTCGTACCCTTTTAACCTAAGCCAAGGCCAAGGAAAGTCTGGCATTGAGGGGGATTTTCTTTTCAGTTTCTCTGGACTTTTCCCATTGACATGAGTGAAATTTTGGAAAAGAGGAAAAAAACAAGAACAAAAAACACAAATGCAGCTTTTTAAATGAACCTGGTGAGATGAAGACATCATTTACTCTCCCAACACTTTCAAATACATGGATACTTAATTGTCTGTCACCAGAATCTCTCTAAATGAGCACCGCAATTTGGCCCATTAGCAATTAGTGAGAACAGTTTCTTTACCGAGCTTTGTCTGAGAAATAGAGAGCTGCCACATCAAACGCACAGACTTAGAAGAAATGAGAAAGGCGCTGAAAAGAGCATTTCTAACGTTACAACTGGCCTCCTGTTGTTTTCCCCACCCTGGGGTTTCTCCTCAGGACTGTTGTACTGCCAGGAAGCCTCCTGGTCCAGCTGCCTAGTGGTTAGTTGGCACAAAAAGTTTTTTTTAAGCACCAGCCCTACCCTGCTCTGCTTAGGAAAGGTAATGCCATATCATGCATTTCAGACCCACGGATTGGAAGGCTATCCTATTTATGTAAGGGAAGCAAGAGTGAAACCAATGCTGGGTGTTTCCACAAGCCTTTCCTCTGCCCAACAAGGATTCATATGGAAAGGTTTCACAGGAATTAGGTAATTTTAGGAAATACTGGAACAAAAGGATATTCAGAAGTCAAATGAGCCTTCCATTGACGTGCTTTGCTTTAGATTTAAGATGCGTGCTCAGTACGGTCAGTGTCTCTTACAGTAGCCAGGGAGAAATCTTAAGGAAGAGAGAAATGTACTAATAAAATGAGACCAAAATGGGAAGAAATTGAGTGGATTTTTTTTTCTGTCCCAGGGTTAGATCAATCCAAATGGGCAACAGATGAAGCCAAGTCTCCATACACATGTCACAACCCTAGATCCTCAAGGTCTCTCCTGGCCTTAAGTGTGTGGGTTCCTATTGTGCTGACACATTGGAAAACTGCACTTGACCTTCAGAGGAGGACCAGGTTTTTTTTCCTGCCACTTAGACACAGCACTCAGAATTCATCTTTGGCTGTGACTCATACTAAATAGCAACCATGCAACTACCTTGGCAGGACATGAGGACACAGAATCAGTGTTTGGGTCAAGTAGAAGAACTCAATTTACCTTTATCCACAACAGGCCAGTCCACCTGATGGGAAACGCTGAGCAGAGATGTGTCTGGGGTTCCACATTTACCCACGTCTCTCATTACAAGTTATTAGTCCATGTCTTTTATTCATGCTGCCATCTTCCTCAGCTGAAAGATAAAAATTAAAAAAAAAAAAAAACCTGAAGACTATTTCTATGGGGAAAAAAAAGTTTCCTCGGGCATACTCAGATTACTGACAACTCCTAGCATGAAAGTCAAACCTTGAACTATTTAGTACTCTGAATACAGACTACAGGGACACAGAGAAAAATCTTTGAGAGATCACTCACAAAGGTCATAGAAGACTTAAAGTCCATATATCAAAATGCCATCCATTCTCTGAAATTAGCCACACTGTAAGAAGTTAAACTGATGTTATGATGTAATGTAACATGTAACATTTTATGATGGTACCATGGCCATTTAGAGCTGCTTGCCAAGTGCTGGGCATGACCCTCAGCACTATGGAACAAAATTCTATATTTCAAGTGGCCACATAGATCTCAAGGTAAGATTGATTTCAAAATAGGCACTTAAAAGGGAAAAGATTCATCTGTGTGTGCTCAGTCATGTCCAATTCTTTTGCAACCCCATGGACTGTAGCCTGCCAGTCTTCTCTATCCATGGAATTTTCCAGGCAAGAATTCTACAGTGGGTTGCCATCTCCTGTTCCAAAGGATCTTCCCAGCCCAGGGATTGAACCTGTGTCTCCTGTATTGGCAGGCAGATTCTTTACCACTACCGCCACCTGGGAAGCTTGACTTCAACTTGATATTGTAACTCCTGATGAGTTCAGTCAAATGAATGGTATGAGGAACACAGAAAGACCAACTCCATTCATGATAAGAATCATTAGGAATTCATAACAAGAGGAAATACAAAAAGATAAGAGGATTGGCATTTAGAGTAGAACATACTGATGTATGCTTCAGAAAGGTGGCTTTTTCATTTCGTTTTCATTTTTTCTGTACAGTGTAAGTAGACAGTTTAGAAAACTTTCCTGAGACTTCCCTGGAAATCCATCTTTAAGACCTAGGGCTTACTGCCTCCATTCACTGTTTCATGTTCCTCTTCTGTGCCAGCATTGCCTCTCATTGCCTGAACCAAGACATCAGCAGCAGTCAACTCACTCTGAAACTCAAAGGTTACTGAAGAATTAGGGATGAGTTTGCCCTATATATATTTTGCCCTATGTAATAAAGATGGGACAGACCTCTTTTACTTTATGAACTTTCCCTGTGTTCATATAACTAAAAATATACCACAAAATCTATAGAACATATTCCAAACATTATTAGAAGGGTCAGAATGTACTGCTCTGAGATTATTGTGAGTGAAACAATTAGACTGTAGAATTGATTGTGATTACCAGAATGTTTGAAAGTCTATCAACTCTTCTACCTATATTTATCAATAACTTCAGATATGCAGATGACACCACCCTTATGGCAGAAAGCAAAGAACTAAAGAGCCTCTTGATGAAAGTGAAAGAGGAAAGTGAAAAAGTTGGCTTAAAGCTCAACATTCAGAAAACTAAGATCATGGCATCCAGTCCCATGACTTCATGGCAAATAGATGGGGAGACAGTGGAAACAGTGGCTGACTTTATTTTTGGGAGCTCCAAAATCACTGCAGATGGTGACTGCAGCCATGAAATTAAAAGACACTTACTCCTTGGAAGGAAAGTTGTGACTAACCTAGACAGCATATTAAAAAGCAGAGACATTACTTTGCCAACAAAGGTCCGTCTAGTCAAGGCTATGGTTTTTCCAGTGGTCATGTATGGATGTGAGAGTTGGACTGTGAAGAAAGCTGAGCGCCGAAAAATTGATGCTTTTGAACTGTGGTGTTGGAGAAGACTCTTGAGAGTCCCTTGGACTGCAAGGAGATCCAACCAGTCCATCCTAAAGGAGATCAGTCCTGGGTGTTCATTGGAAGGACTGATGTTGAAGCTGAAACTCCAATACTTTGGCCACCTGATGCGAAGAGCTGACTCATTTGAAAAGACCCTGATGCTGGGAAAGATTGAGGGCAGGAGGAGAAGGGGACGACAGAGGATGAGATGGTTGGATGGCATCACCGACTCCATGCACATGAGTTTGAGTAAGCTCCGGGAGTTGGTGATGGACAGGGAGGCCTGGTGAGCTGCAGTTCATGGGGTTGCAAAGAGTCGGACACAACTGAGCGACTGAACTGAAGTGAACCCATATTTATACTAACCCATATCTGAGATATTTCCTCTCTCTAAAATTCCACAATTCTCTAATTCTGGGTGTCATTTTCCCCTCCCTCTACCCTTCTAAGATCCTCTTATCATTGGGTGGGGGGGGGGTGTTCATTTATCATCCCCATTTCTAATTCCTTCTCTAAGGAGAACCAACACATTCTTATTTATGAAAACTCCATTTCCACGTGTACATATTTTCAAGGATAGTGAAATGATTACCACCAGTACATCTTACCATCTCAGTCAAGAACTACTACTTCAAAAGTAGGTCAACCAGAAGGGGACTCCTGGCCAAATCTAAAGGCAGAGCTAAGGAAACAGTTAACTGCCCTGTCTACAAAAATTTTGATTTTATTTAAAGATTATTAGTGCCTACTTTACAATTTTATTGGTGTTAATGTCAATAATTTTAGACCTACTTTACACCTTTGCTAGTGTTGCTTAAAAAATGCTGGCAGATTATAAAGATAGCACTAATTCTTGCCTTATAAACTTGCTCTTTTTGCCCTAGAATGCTGAGTGTGATGTGATTTTTCATGAATAATTCTGAAAAAGTCATCCCTGCTGAAATTCCACACACAGAGCTAAAAGGCTCAAAGAGTCTTAGATTTAAATTACCCAAATCACAATCAGATTTGATACTCTAGGCAGAGCAAACAATAGGTGGACAGACTGACCACTGTTTATAGATGTCTTTCCTCATCATACTTCATTAACAGTAAGAGAGTTTTCATTTCTTTGTCTCAGTTGTGAAAACACCTGGAGAATTTAATTCGTACATTGAATCATGCTGAGTAATTCAGGTCTCAAGGGTAATGTGTGTTAGCTTACATTTGTTGGTTTCTGTAAGGAAAATGGCCACTTTCATAAACTGATGGCAGTTTGAAGGGCACAGTGCTTACACTGGTGGTATTTGGTGTGGGGTTTCCAACTCTGGGTCCTGGGTCTGCCTCCTAACCAGTGACCTACATAATCTTGCTAAGGAAGATCCCCAATATGATTACTTTATATATTGTTCATGCATTTGGTCAATGGCAATGAACATTATCAACTGTTGTTTCTTTCCTGTTTCTTGCACAACTATAGTGATTCGTTTTATATGGTAATCATTTTTTGTATTAGGTCCTGTGCTTGGCATTGAGATGAATAAAGCTCAGCTCTTGCTTTCAGAAAGCTCACAATTCCCTGTGCATAACTAACTATAAGGTAGTGAATGAGAATAAGGAAGAAGAGAGGGGCGAGCAATGCCTGGTGTAGGCTGAAAACATAATTAACCAGCCTTGAGATTTCCATTGCTCCATAATGCAAATGCCACCCACCAGAGTCTGTCAATCTCCAGTTACACCCTTATTTAGACAGAAGAAAGAAAACATAGTTGAATAGGGAGAAAATACCGATATTTCTCATTGACTTGTAAATACGAAAATGTCAAGCAATGAAAAGTATATACATTTATATACAGATTATGAAGTAAATATTTCCCCTAAAATACACAATAGGCTGAAATCCACAGAGAGGAAAGAGCTTCTATACCCAGAGTTTTATAGTTTGCAGCCCACCACTCCTCTCAAATTTCTTTAAAGCTTCAATACTGTCATCCTTCAGTTTCACCAATATCTAGGATGCAGCTAAGATAGCTCAACAATAATAATGTATTCAAAGCCACAAAGTTCAACTTGATAGACATTTATGGCATGCATACTTTGTGCCAATATCCTCACTTTAAAAGTTTCAATTTCAAATAGCATTCTGAATTAGAAGGATTTTATTAGTTTATACAAAGTTTCAGGGATTCCCGCCCCGGGCTTGCTGTACAAACACATAAGACCATTTTTTAAGTCTTCCATTTTTATACTAAATTTAAAAATATATTTAAAATAAAGGAGCAATATCACTGCTGCTGCTGCTAAGTCACTTCAGTCATGTCCGACTCTGTGCGACCCCTTAGACGGCAGCCCACCAGGCTCCGCCGTCCCTGGGATTCTCCAGGCAAGAATATTGGAGTGGGCTGCCATTTCCTTCTCCAATGCATGAAAGTGAAAAGTGAAAGTGAAGTCGCTCAGTCGTGTCCCACTCTTCGAGACCCCATGGACTGCAGCCCACCAGGCTCCTCTGCCCATGGGATTTTCCAGGCAAGAGTACTGGCAATATTACTAGTCATAGCAAAATCATCAATATTTAATTATTTTGAAACCAGAATGCTTAAAGGGAAATTAATTCAATAAATTCTCAAGTGAAAATTACATATCCCCAGTGAACACTATTATTTAGGATTTTTCTATCTCATTAGACATAAGTCAAACATATTCTGATTAAACACCTACTATGTTTAAGGCACATAGTTACTGGAAGAAGAAAGAAATCATTTCTACTCTTAGAGAATAACATTCTAACAACCAGTTTAACTGACTGAAACTTCCAAGCAGAGTATTATTTTCACTTTTGAAATAAATGAGTCCAAATATCACCCTAAGAATGAAACCAAAAAAAATCTGATTTAGCTGTTTTTCAATGGAGCAGAGACTTGTTTTATCATCTACTAAATAACAAGTCAAAATGTAAACTCAGGAAATATTGATATATTTGCTACATGATAGGTGAACTTGAATTTGGAAAGATGCATTCAAAATGAAAATTCTATTTCAGTTACACAAACCTCCAGCTAATGAACATCCTTAATTAAACCTTCATTTTCATAAGCAAACACCTATAACAATAAAACAAATCAAAAAGAAAAACAATAGTGGAATAAGTAGTGATTGAGTTCAAGTTATTCAAAAGAAAGATTCAGTCACTGATAAGCAAATTAATCAACATCAAATTTAAACTACAAAAATTAAACTACATGAAATGGTGTGTCAGTTTACTTTTCTATAATCTT